CTCCCTCCCTCTCTAAAAAAAACCAAAAAGGCGCATGTATTCTTTGGCTGAGCAATTCCACATTCACATATTTATCTTTTATTTATCTTTTTTTTTTTTATATTTTATTGATTTTTTGCAGAGAGGAAGGGAGAGAGATAGAGAGTTAGAAACATCAATCAGCTGCCTCCTGCACACTCCCTACTGGGGATGTGCCCGCAACCAAGGTACATGCCCTTGACCGGAATCGAACCTGGGACCTTTCAGTCAGCAGGCCGACGCTCTATCCACTGAGCCAAACCGGTTTTGGCCACATATTTATCTTATAAATGTACTTCCACGCATGCAAAATGACATATATACAAAAATATTGAGTTGTAGAATTGATTATAAGAGAACAAGAATAGAAATAACTTAAACACCCATCAGCAGGAAACTGGTTAAAAAAAAACCATTCATTTGAAGAAACATGGTACATTTGTTACAAGGAATGAGGCTGCTTTCTCTGTTCTGATGTGGAATGATTTCCAAGTTAAGTAGAAAAAAGCAAGGTGTGCATATAGTACACTATCATTTGTGTATGGAGGGGAAAAGTCAAACTCTATGCATATACATTTGCAAATGCATGACATCTACAGAAAAACACAGAATAAACTAATTGCAGTAGTTGCTGCTGGGGAGGGGAACTAGGTAACTGGGAAATGAGGGTAAGAAGGAATTACTTTACACTATATCTCTTGAGTCATGGGTATATATTATCTATTCAACAAATTCTGGCCGGGCAGGGTAGCTCAGTTGATTAGAGTGTCATCCTGATATGCCAAGGCTGTGGGTTCGATCCCCGGTTAGGGCACATACAAGAATCAACCAATTAATGCATGAATAAGTAGAACAATAAATTGATGTTTGTTTCTCCCTTCCCCTCTCTCCTAAAATCAATCAATAAATAAAATTTAATTTTTTTAAAAAATTTCTGAGGGGAGAGGTAGGAGGAAGTCACATGCTAGAGTGGGGGCTAAGGTCATCTCAACACAAAGCAGTGATATGCTCTGCTTTTCATGTTTTTAACCTGAGTTTCCCCTGAACTGCTCTTACAAATTCCAACCTCGAACCACAGCTAATTTCACTGAAAACCCAGGGCCTTCACCAAAACCAGGGAAGTAATTTTTGAAGATCAGATCATTAACTCTCTGCAAGGCAGAGGACTCTTTACTCCACACACAAAGACAACTGGATGCAGACCTTTTCTTTGCAATCTTTTTTATTAATCATCTAACCAACAATGGTGGTCAGCTTGAACCAAAACAAGCTGTAACAGCCTCAAAAAAGGCCTGCTTCATTACAACACAATAGGGAAAACCAGAAATGAAGATAGTCTTGCCTCCGTTCTTTTCAGAGTAGGCCAAACATGTATCTGTACATAGTTGCCCTATTAAAAACGGATTAGCAACATATGTAATACTTCCAACAATGAAGAAAAAAAACACCAAAAAACTGATTAGCAGTGCACCGTCACCAAAACCACAGAGTGTAAAAATCTTGTTGGGGATTCCTAACGTGTCATTCACAGAGCCAGCCTCTTCCTCAGCCATAAATGAGCCCTTGCTTTTTTAGGCAGAAAGAACAGAAATACAGGATGATCAGCCTGGATCTTCAGTGATGGCACCTTTTGTTTACTCTGGAACTTTGATGGGGAGGGAACTCATTTATTTCCTCCCTGAATCTCAGATGCTAGCCTGTTTGAATATCAAACAAGTGTCCTGGGTGATAGGTGGTGGAGGTTCCCTTAACAAAGAGTTTACAGAGTAATTGTGTAGGGCTCTTTAAGTACTTAATCCTGTTGTTTTTCAGAAGCCTTTGCACCTGGGCTCCCAAGAAGCAAGGAGGGCCTAATCAGTGCCCCACTGGCCTGAGTGAGGTGCTTCTCAGAGCAGTCACCCACAGAATCGGAGGCAGCAGGGGAGGGCAAAGGTGGAGATGCAGGGGGACAGAAATCAGCTGAAACACTCCATGCTGGTTCTGACTCGCTCCATCTCATGCAGGAAGCTGTAGAACTGAGGCAAGGTTAACTCTGGGGGAAGAAAAGGCAGCTTCAGGTAAATGTTTCCAACTCCACAGAATCATCCAAGAAAATTAATTTCCACCCAGAGAATTATTTTTTCTTTTTTGGCTTAGTATAACCAGGCAGCTTTTGTTGGGTAATTGGTCATAATAAAAAACCGAGAGCCTTGAATATAGGAAAGTTCTCAGCCCCATAAAAAAGGAAGAAGGTTTAAAATGGCCCAACTCCAGGGCATAGAGATGAAAGGGCATTAGTAGGATATACAATGGCTTCTACTGTAAGAGCTTCTTGCTCTTCAATCTTTGCCATTCCTTTCCCCCCTTTTTCAGAAAGGTTCTTCAACTCTGGGGTCTCCAACTTGTCAGCAGCTTATTAAGTATCTTTGTACCATCTTTTATGAGAGGAAGGGCAGTGGTTATAATATAACTTAGTAATGACTTTTTCTGGAAGAAATTATTTGTGGTGGGCTACATGAGCCCATTGAGTGAAGAGAACAGAGAAAAAGGGGAAAGGTTCAAATGGGAATTTGGACTCACCTATATATAAATTTTCAGTTTGATTTCCTTTCTTAAGCACCAACTTTAACTGATTAAAAAGAAGAAATACAAAAATTTAAATTAAAATGACAACTAGGCAAAGAAGTTTTTGAAACCTGAACTTTCACTTAAACATCAAAGCATCCAGTTTCTAAATTGAGGGTTTACAAGAGCAGTCTGGATTGTCCACCAAAACTTCTAAAAAGTCCCATGATTACAGGAGCAATCAAACTTTTAAGAATAATACCTGGATCCTATTAATCTGAAAGTAAGCATGTTGATAACCATGTCTTTGGCTGACCACATTGCTCTGAGGCACTTCAGTGGACCATCCATTTAATTGGATATTTAAAGAAACCCAATGTAGGTTTAATAATTTTTAACCAAGTCAAAAATCTACCCATTTTCAACAATCAAGAGAAGACTTACTTGTAAAAAAATACTTCCCACTTTTTCCAGTTCACTGCTGCCAGAAGTCACTATGATACAAAGAGAAAACTAGTAAGCGGCTGGTTGAGGACCCACTCTGAAGACCTCAATCTTGCAGGTTGTGCAGCAGAAGCCAAATGGGAGTGAGTATGAGGACAGCAAAATGTGCTTTTCGGGAAGTCAACGTATCAATAGCCGTGGGTAGAAACAGCTGCTGGAATATGGATGGCAATACAGAGAGGTAGCTGCTGGCCCCAACAGTGTTTGAGGATGGAGGGAACCTCTTACCCATAGAAGCTATCTAAAAGCTTCTGCAACCCAACCCTACAGCACCCAAAGGACCCGAGACCGGCTCTAACTAGTTACCTCCAAATTTCCACTCCATATCTATAAGCTGGTTAATCATCAGAGTCTGACCTATGGCCCATCGAGCAAGGGTGGGGGCATTCTGCTTCCACTGAAACAAAAATAAAAAGCCAAAGTCTTAACAATGGGAAAAATTCTCCCTCTTCATTCCACCCCCCACACAGCAATGTTTAGTTTTTTATACAGACAGTGGGAAGAAAGCAGAACCAAGGGCTGGTCTAGATGCACAGATCTGGGGGGTGGGGGAGTGTAGAGGGCACAGAAGATAATATAAATTTTTTCTTTCATTCCCAGATTTAATCCATGTTGGAACAACAACAGTATGACATTAATATTTAATCAGATCAGTGGGGTGCACTAAAAAATGCACAAAAATTACAAATGTGTTAAATAGTGCAATTTAAAAGCTGGATGTATGTCATTTGCATGAAACCAAATAAAAAACATTAAGCTGGGGAGATGACACATAAAGATTGATGACTTTTCCTTAGTTGGCATTTTCCATGTTTCTTTTCGTGAAATAAAAGCAAGTGATCTTAATTAACCTTGATTAAGAGGAATTATGATACCTTTTCAGAAAAGTAAGTGGCTTTCTCTTCACTAAGACCTATGAGAAAACATAGGGAGACATTACTATACGAAAGAGTTGCAAGGCCTGTCACTCTGAGGAACCTTGGTGATGACCTACCCAGAGTTATGAAATCAGCTCGGACCTGCTCAGCTGTGAGACTCTTCTTCAAGGCACCTGGGAAAAAGGGGAGAAATCAGTTACAAAGGACAAATCAATTAATCAGTTAATAGTATTTATTGGGCACAACTTATACAACACAGATGACACAAGGAATAGGCAAAACTCAGTTGCTCCGTGAAGATCTCAATTCAGTTGGGGAAAAAAGTCACATTGAGACAAGTGGAGAACAAGACAGACCATTTTGTTTATTGTACAACACAAGCGTTTACCTCCCACCTTCCCCAAAAGTACAGAAGACATTAGAGACAGAGGAAAAGGTTTTGTGAACTTAGGAGTGGGGGTACCTGATCTGAGGGAAGAAGAACGCCACAGATTCCTAGAGCAAAGTGCAGGAAGCTCAATGCTGGGCTGGGCATAGGGGCAACAGCCTAGAACTGCACTGTGCAATACATAACCACTAAACACGTGTGGTTATTTAAATTTATTAAAATTAAATAAAATTTTAAATTATGTTCCTCAGCCCCACTAGCTATTTCAAGTGCTTAATAGCCATATGGCTCCAGTGGCCACAATACATACTGGACAGTGCAGATTATAGACCATTTCCATCTACATACAAAGTTCTAGCCTGGCCAGCGTGGCTCAGTGGTTGAGCTTCAACCTATGAACCAGGAGGTCGCAGTTTGATTCTGGTCAGGTCACATGCCAGGGTTGCGGACTCAATCCCCAGTGTGGGGTGTGCAGGAGGCAGCTGATCAATGAATCTCTCTCATCATTGATGTTCCCACCTCTCTCTCTCTCTCTCTCTCTCCCTTCCTCTCTTAAATCAATAAAAATATTAAAACACACACACACACAAAACAAAGTTCTATTGGACAGTGCTGCCCTAGAAAACCAGCTTGCAGGAAGTACACCCAGATGGGCTCAATATTTGGCCTTTACAATTCACAAGTCCCTTCCAAGAGGCGCATCAAACCTTCCCCTCAGAAATTCTGGAACACTCCCCAGTGGGGGCTGCTTTGTTCTTTCTGCCCACAAGCTCCAATTCCTGAAAACTAAGTGTTGCCAGCAATCTGAATGTCTAAATGTTTAACCTGAAGGCTACAGCCTAGAGCAGCCGTGGGCAAACTACGGCCCGCGGGCCGGCCGGTTTGAAATGAATAAAACTAAAAAAAAAAAAGACTGTACCCTTTTATGTAATGATGTTTACTTTGAATTTATATTAGTTCACACAAACACTCCATCCATGCTTTTGTTCCGGCCCTCCGGTCCAGTTTAAGAACCCATTGTGGCCCTCGAGTCAAAAAGTTTGCCTACCTCTGGCCTAGAGTCACAATTTGGCAACTGATCTAGAAATTTCCACTTCTTAGTCTTCCAGAAGATGATTAAAGAATAAGGAGGGCTCTGAAGTAATTCCCTAACACCAAGTCCCCACCCTACCCTCAACTCACTCCGAAAGGCTGTTGTCCCTGAAAAATAAACCATGTAAACAAAGGGAGGAAATCTTTTATCTCCAAAATCAGTCTGAGCAAGGAAGCCACAGGGAAATTAAAAAAAGGCAAGACCTGAGGAAACTGTGGCCATAAAAGCATTCCAAGAAGGGGGTCACTTCCTAGCCAATCCAATGAACTCAAACTATCACATGTACAGCTCCTTCATATTTATCCAGTTAAAACCCAACATTTTGCTTGATTATCCCAAAATACTCTGAAGTGGGCACTATTGAAACCTTTATCAGGAAAATAAATATCAAGCTTTTGGGGGAGAAAATTTGTAAAATGTACATAGTCAACAATTGCACTGCCAAAAATTCACCCAACAGATTTATCCAAAAGTATCCTGAGGCCCTAGCTGGCTTGGCTCAGTGAATAGAGCCTGTGTACTGAAGGGTCCTGGGTTCGATTCTGGTCAAGGGCACATGCCCGGGTTGCAGGCTCAATCCCCAGTAGAGGGTGTGCAGGAGGCAGCCGATCAATGATTCTATCATCATTGATGTTTCTATCTCTCTCTCTCCCTTCCTCTCTGAAATCAATAAAAATATATTAAAAAACAAAAGAAACAAAAAACCCCCCATAAAAGTACACTGAGAACAAGGGAAGTTCATTAGCAATGTCGGTAGAAAAAGTCAGGAACTGTGGGCTGCTTTTGGTGCATCCACACAGTAGCCTAGAAGTCAAGGTGATTTTGTTAAAAATTTAATTCAGACCATGTCTCTCCTCTGCTGCTCAAAATCCTCTAATCATCCTAATGGCTCTGGTTGCACTTACACTGAAATCCAAAGCTATTACAATGCTCTGCGTGAAATGGCCCCTAGAACCCCTAAGCTCTCTCCCTAGCTTACTACGCTTTTCCTATAATATCCCAGGCAGGCGTTTTCCGGGCTCAGGCCTTTGGGCCGCTAGTCTTGGCGCCAGGGTCGCAGAGGCAGCCCCTGGCGGCCAGCAGCCGCGCTTCTCGCCTTCATGGTTCGAGTGGCGGGCTCGTGGCAT